TATATGCACAAGAATATTTTTCCTGAGCATCTAAGCCAGACAAGCATACATTTTTTTGGTGATAAACGTTGCAAGTTTTGATTTTTGAACAGTCCCATGGATCGTTGTAAAAGGCTGTAGCTGCCCATATTGCAGTTATGAGCATATAAACACTCATATCTGTCATAGTTATGCATAATCATGAAATATATCCCCATCCAAATAGGCTCATGCAAACAGGCCACACTGCAGAGCACTGTTACATCTTAGAATAATGCAGTGAGTATGGTTGAATGATATTTTTTAGTATAAGCAGGTATAATAATTTTCTCCAAAATATTGTCAGGACAATTGTGTTGGCTAGCTATATGTAATTTTGACACAAGGTATAGTCATTATAGAGGATAGAGTCTCAGTTGAGAAAATGCCTCCATAAGATCAGGCTGTACTCAAACCTGTAGGGCATTTTCTTAATTAGTGATTGATGAGGGACTGCACAGCCTATTGTGGGTGGTGCCATCTGTAGGCTGATTGTCCTGGCTTCTATAAGAAAGCTGGCTGACCAAACCATGGGGAAAGCAACCCTGTAAGCAACACTGCTGCCTGGCCTCTGCATCAGCTCCTGCTTCCAGGTTCCTTCCCTGTTTGAGTTTCTCACCTGACTTCCTTCAGTGGTGAATAGTGATTTGGAAGCATAAGACAAATAAACCCTTCCCTCCCCAAGTTGCACTGGTCATGGTGTTTCACCACAGCAATAATAACCCTAGTTAGGACAACAACAAGTGTTCCTATGTTTGAGAAAATGCCAGAAACTGTGATTTTTTCTGGAAAATTACCCATTTTCTGGAAAATGCCATGGCAGCTTCCTCACTTGTATTTACATATTGCATGTATGTGTGCTTTAGAAATTGTATCTACACAGATGTGTAAGAGAGACTAGATAGTTTTAAGAAATTGAAGTAATTCCTTTCAACCCTAAAGATATACCCACTTGCATTATGTTATTAATTATAATAAATTGCGTCAGCCTTGATATTTCAGGTGATGACACATCTCTGATGATGCTGAATTGATCAGTCAGGTGAAGTTTCTCTAGTTTATCATTGCATCTTCAATTCCAGAAACTTCACAATTGATCATACACTGACAGGATTCAGGAATTGGTGAACATTGTGAGATAGGTACCCTTACTATTCCCTTGAGACTGTCCTTTCTCATTTGTTCTCACCACCACGAGCCTTTGAACTTGGAAGTCTCTGCCAAGTACATGTGTGTGTTTCCCCCATCTCTCTCTCACTAGACTGCCACCACTCACCTATAGAGTACACACTTGAAGAAGAACCCGAGCCAGGGATATTTGCAACACTGAAATGATAGGATGGCAGACTAACTGGCACACTTCTAAGCATCAGCAACTCTAATTCATGGGTGCAAGATAATAGTTTTATGACACAAAACAGAAGATTTAAAATTTTCAAGTGTACTGCTGTTTCCACATGTTTTGCAGATAGAATTAATTGGGTGTTTTGATATTGCAAAGGCATGGAACGACCTGCATACCTAGATGTGAAATCTGTTTTATAGGACCCCTTTTGTTATTGACTGTTTCTCCTAGTAGTATTGGTGGATGTCAATACTGAGCCTTCATGCTATATTTTCTAGATCCATATAAGATGTACCTAGAGTTGAATCAACTAAGTTATCTCATTTAATATTTATCTCTACTCTTATGAGATATACACATACATTTCTAAGTGAAAGGTTTCAAAATTATATCTGCTGTGTGCAAAAGATACAGGGAAAGCTGGCTTAAATAGAAGTTGTATTATCGCCTAGATAGAAGAAACCTAGATGTAGAATTACAGAGCTGGTGTTGTAGTTCTAGAATGTCACCTTTGATTCTGGTTTCTCCCAATTTATTGTTCAGTTTGGTATGAAGCCTCCTTGTTTGTGGTTCAAGATGGATATCCAACTACTGTGTTCTAATTGTATGCCACAGAAATGAATGGAAAAGAAGAGTATATTCTTACTAAGGAATTCTAGAAATCCCAACATAATTTAAATTTAAGTCTTAATTCTGCCACATGGTCATATTTCTCTAAAATACATTTGGCTGTTTTGTTAATGTAGTAGTTATTGTTGAGAGACGTTATACAGCCCAGTTTGCTGGCCTTGACTTCATTTTGTAGCCAAAGATAATCTTGAACCACTGATCCTTCTGCCTCTGGCATCCCAAGTGCTAATATTATCAGCTTTTCTTCAGATACATTTGGTAATTTTTTTCTGGGAAAGAGTTTTCTCAACTAGAAATACAAACTGCACAACAGAAGATTAAGCAATGTGTTCAATTTCTATTGCTGTCTAAGAAAACCAAAACCAAAACCAAAAACCCAGTCATTTCATTTACAAAAGTAATAGCCACTTAATATTTTCTCATTTCTATGATCAGAAGTCTGGGCATGGTTCATCTTCATCTTCTTTCTAAGACCTCATTAGGTCTCATCAAAGTGTGAGCTAGGGCCCAGGCTCATAAGCAGCTTCAGTGAAGGATCTGTTTCTGTGCATCTAAGGTCACAGAGTGGTTATTTTGTTGCTCTTGGGTTCTAGAAATCAAGATGAGTATATCAACTTGTGTAGCCACTGGTAAGTTGCTTATGCATATATGTTGAAATATTGCCTCCATTTTCTCTGAAAATTTCAGAGTTTCAGGTTTTATATTAAGAGTTTTGATCTATTTTGAATTTTATTTTTTTTGTGCACCGTGACTGGTGGGGATCTAGCTTAACTCCTATATATGTTTATCAGTTCTGAATATCACTTATTGAAGAGTCTGCCTTTCCCCCATGTGTATTTCTAGCATATTTGCTGAAAATTGGGTGGCAGTAGGTATTTTTTTTTTCTTCACAACTCTATTCCATTTAACATCTGTCATTGTATGGTTTCTAGCCTTTTTGTGGCTTTTATCTAATATGATACAAGATATTATTTCAGTTATGTTGTATCTGTTAAAAGTTGTTTTATTGACTAAAATGTGATCCTTTTTACAGAGAGCTCCACGGGCTGCTTAAAAGAATGCACCACCAGGTGTTGGGTGGAAGATTTTTCAGATATCTGTAAGGGTCACTTGCTCTGTGGTGAAACTTAATTTTGAAGTTTCTCTATTGACTTTAATTTTTATTGTCTGGATGATTTATTTATTAACGAGAGTGGAGAAGTGAAATTATCACCACAATAGTATATATACTTATCTGTCCCTTTTTGTCCAGTAGTGTTTGTTTTATGAACTGCATATACCAATATTCAACTTACAATTGCTATTTCTTGATGTGATGGATTGCTCCACTCATACCTATGTTCAGATTTTTAAAGTCTCTGAAAATTTTGGATTTAAATCTACTTCACCAGATAGCAACTTTTCTTTTTTTTGGGGGGGTGGGGGTAGGGGACCTTCCATTTGCTTGGTATATTAAGTTCTATCCTATAACTTTACATTTTTTTGTGTGTGTGTGTTTGCCAGTGAGGTATTTCCTACAGACAGCACACAGCTGTATCTTGTTCTCAACCAAATCAGCTACTACAAATCTATTTTATTTTTCTTGTATTTTTATTTTTCAATTTGCAATCTGACCATGTGGAAATGTATTTCTGTTTTAGGTGTAATCACCTTATTGATCTATCCCCACTACCATGTAGAGAGGAGAAAAGAAATCAAAGTAATGGCTACAAATTAAAACCAAATATGGCCATACAACACAGATTGATTAAATTGAAAAGACCACCAATGATCATAGAACAGAAAATTATAAAAATAATAGAATAAGCTGTGAGGGTATAAATTAGTGTAAAAATAAGGAAAATACTAGAGATGAGTACTGATCTACTACAGGAGGCCCCATGGATTTCTGAGGACTTGGGGAGCCCATGCCACATAGAGGGATACTCCCTGAGCCAAGACACACAGGGGTGGGCCTAGGCCCTATCTCAAAGGATGTGACAGACTCTGAAGACCCCCTATGGAGCAGAAAGGGTATGTGATAGGTAGGGTTTTAGTTGAGAGGGTGGTAGGGAAGGAGGAGAGGGAGAGGGAACTGGGATTGAAATGTAAAACAATCTTGTTTCTAATTCAAATAAATAAATGGAAAAAATAAAGAAAATACATTAATGGAATAAAGGATGGGGCAGTGAAAGCAGAAAATGAAAGGACAAACAAGGTTAAAAAGAGGGAAAAATAAGTAGAATGGAGAAGACTATTATGAAAAGGGAGAAAAGCATGTGGGAAAAGTATAACAACAAAAAAGTGATGGTTGTCATGGTGCATGCCCACAGTATATGATGAAGAGGTAGACGAGGAGGATCAAGAGGTGTGGCAAGTCTGAACTACAACTTTAAAAGAAATGGGCTGGAGAGGTGGCTTTGCAGTTAATAGCACTGGCCGCTCTTCCATGGGTGCTGCATGCACCTGGTGTACAGACATCCACTCAAGCACACACTCATATGTGTAAAAAATAAATAAAACCTCAAAAAATTTAAAGAGAAATTTAAAACACTCTAATAATTAGACAAATCTAAGAAGAGGCATAAAATGAGAATATACTTGACTAAAATATAATGACAAAATTGATAATGAAATGTAAGGATACATAAAAAGAAGAGAGAAAATAATAAAATGACTCATGGGGAATGTACTGTGTATGTTTATCTTATTGATTGTTAAATAAAATACTGTTTGGCCAATGAGACAGCAAGTTAGACGGGACTAGGAGTCAAAGAGGATTCTGGGAAATGTAGTCAAGAAGTGGTGATCCAGGCAGGAAGTGACATAGCAAGGAGACTCATATTTAAGCGAAGGAGAAAGAGGAAGGGCCCTTTTTCCCCTTGCTCCTCCTCCAGCCGCACAATGTGATCCACCGGCAAGGAGGGACACCAAAAAGGCATCCAATAAGATAAGTCTTATGAAATATATAGATTTATGATTAAGACTGAGCTAGCAGATGAGAATCCTAGTCATTGGTCAAGCAGCTTTGAACGTAATACAAGTAATTCATTTGGGCCCTGACTCGGGCGGGCGGCTGGTGTGAAGCTCACATGTGACGGTGGGGCTCAGGCGGCTTTTGGCAGAAAGATTTATCATAAAAAATGACATTTTGATCCAATTTCTTTCTGGATCCTCTGACATTGAGTGTATCTGATGAAGGGAGTGGCCGGCTGAACTTGAATCTCTTGACTTTCCTGCAGTTTAGGCTGGGGCTGAGCCTGGACAAATGTCAGATATTTCGTGGAGTTTTTTTCCTCCTAGGGGATTTCCCTTCTTTGTATACCAGAAGACTGTACCATCCACAGCAGCTTCTCCAGTGCTCCAAAGATACCACAGTTCCTACCTCTTGAATTCCTTACTGAGGTATATCCTGGGGCACTAGTTGGTGATCTTTCTTTAATCGAGTTCAGCATTAACACCCTGAGGGAGGGACAACATTACAGGAGTCAAGTGCCCTTCTGGACATGAGCTTTAGTGCTGTGGGCAGTGACATGCATGACACATAGGTGACACTAGTTGTCCTATGGCTTGATGCTGTCAGTTTTGAAGCTATCATCAAAGGCGGATAGGGGTCTGTTCCTAACCATAGTAGGCAGGGCAATGAACATCATGCCATTAACTGTTTGAATCCACTGACATTGTTGGCTTTCCTACTGGCTTCACCTGATCTTTCTCTGCTCCATATTCAGTCTTATATTCAGTTTCCTATCCAGCTGTTATAGCAGGTTGTGTCCTTAATCCTTGCCTTGTTATTATTCCTTGTTTTCAGGCTTCCACAGGAGGTCAGTTCATCAATAGCCTTCTTCCCAAGATGGTGCCCAACAACAACACTCTCAGACATGGCAAGTGGCAACACAGTCCTCTTTTAAAATACTGACCCATTATGTGATGGTGACAACTGTCTCATCAAATCCTCCACCTGGACCCAGACTTGCAAGAAACAGAGTCTTGTTTTATGTATGGGACTGCTGGTCTCTTTATACCACCACTGACTGAATTACCTTTTGGATGAGCCTTTTTTTCTGTATGCCAGGGAGCCATGGCTGGAGCTACTTATTGTTCACTCCTCACCCCTTTATTCTGCATCATTCTTCTGTTTCTTGTGCTTCCCTGCTGTCCTGTCAGTTCCTTCATGACTTTGGATGCTCTTGCAATAATTTTTTTTTTGTAATAGAGTGTATTACTCTTTATTTTTCTGATCATTTCATTCACTGTGGATTCAGCTTCTAATTGTGAATATTACTCCAAAAGTCTTACATCCCATATGAAAAGTTCCCAAAGATAAACATTTACATTTATTCATTTACATTTATTTATCTTTTCTTAGAAGGTTATAATAAGTTAATGTCTCTAAAACGAACAGTAGAAAATCCAAGCACTGTCAATTATAAATAATATTTTTTGTCATCTATGAAGAGCTTTTTGCCTGTAAGTATTGTTGTGAGTATCATTCATCATAGTCCATTTTGTGCTGGGGCAACAGAACACTACAAAATGGTAATTTGTAAAGACAAGAAATTTTTCTCTGATTGTTCAGGAGGCTGGGAAGTCCAAGATGAAGGCTAGCTTTAGCATCTGGTCTTTGGTAGGAAGATCCTGCATAGTAGAAGGCTGAAGGGCAGAATGGAGGTGATACCTTGTCTTAATGTGGCAGATGAACAGAAGAGAGAGACAGAGAGAGAGAGAGAGAGAGAGAGAGAGAGAGAGAGAGAGAGAGAGAGAGAGAGAGAGAGAGAGAACACATTCCCATAAACTCTTTTTATGGTGACATCCTTTTCCATTCACCAGGGCAGAACCTGAGTGACATATGTACATCCCAAAAGGCTCTATCCTTCAACCTTGTTGTCCTGGACATGATGTATGTAACACATGCATTTGGGGGACATTTACAGAGTGCAGCAGCTTTATTTCATGAGTCACCTTAGCTTTGATAATCTTCTATCTTATCTTTGTCAATTCTGTGTCAACATATCTGGATTCTATTTCTGCACCAATGATCATGGTAGATGATCATGCTAATTTTTGTTTGTATAACTTTCACAAAAAAACATCATGGCGCCTCCTCAAATGAGTAAAAATAAAATTATTAGAAATTTAGCTGTCTTACTGCTGGATGTGTACAAAAAGAGATGTAATCAGTACCCAAAAGAGATAGTTGCACCTTTATTCGAATTATAGGTAAATACAAAATCATAACATTTTTGCTCTTTGAATACATGAATTTTTTATTTGGCAAGTGCATTTTTAAAGAAAACAAATATCAGGAAAGAAGTCTTGTAGATGAGATTACACAGAATAAGGGACCAAGCCATTTCCATTTCCAGAGCCTCACGTGATTGGATTACTGAAACCACTTAATGATTGAACATTTATTTTTCTTGATATGGCACCAGTTCCATGTGCAGATATATAATTCAACAATAAGTGTGCAAGGACAATAGGTTGCCATGGAAGCTGTTATTACAATGCCCAAAGTTATCTAATTCTTTGACATTGATGCATTAATTAGATGTTTCAGCAGTGAATGTGCCCTGGGAATATATGTGCATACAAGGCGATAAATGTTCCTTTCTAAATATTTAATGTAAGAATCTCATCTTTAGGTAGTTACTTTGTACATTATCATGTGAAGTAAAGTGTAGATGGATAGTTCCATTACTCATCTTTTTGGTAAAAAATGATAAGCAGAATCTGCAAATGCATCACTTTACTGTTCTCATTATTTATCCTGTGGCTTTAAGAATAATGATTCCATTAGAGTTTCATGTATTTCCCGAATCGGGGAATGGTCAATTATTGGCAACAATCACATTCCCCACACTTCACTAATGGCTGGTGGCCCACACTGTAAATTAAATAGGAGACAGAGCAAGCATAAAATGTGGACCCCTGCTCTGGCTAATTTAAAAGGTGTTTCATAACATTAACCCTGAATGGAGAGACATGCCAATTGCCATAGAACCATAGGAATATGTATAGAATATGGCTTTTGGTTTGGGGTGCTGCATTTTGAGACTGTTATAACCTATCTGGATGGTTACCAGAATAACAAAGAATATAGGAATCATGATGGCTGACTTAATAAATGATCAGGGGAAACAGAATGACTTTTACCAGAGAAAGGAAATTTGAAGATGATTTAGTAGGTGTCTTTAAATGTTTGAAAGCAGGAGAACTGACATTTTGTTTTAAAGGGCCATACTCAAAGTATGATTACAAGTTCCTATTGTTCTGGCTCCAAGGAAGAGCATCACAATGGAAATGTCCAACAGAGCAATGAAATAGTCTTTGAAGTATTCGTCCTTTAAAAATCTTCTAGTCAACATAATGAATGTGGATGCAAATGGGTTTGTTGCACAGCAGAGTTAGTTGGTCCAAATGATATCTTAGGTTCCTTCCATGTCAGTGTTTTCTGGCATTCACTGTGCCTCTGATGTTTTGCTTCAGTGCCCATTAATAGGATGAATCTTCAAGACAGAAATTAGGAGATATTGACAATAGCATTTCATTCACTCAACAGTTAGCACCATACACTTGACATATATGTGTCACTTTTGTTTAAGAGAAACATAGGGACACCTCAGGTGTTTGCTTTATGTGATGTAGTTTTGTATCATGGTGCTGAGATGGTGATTTGTGTACATTGTCTGATGGAAGAGAGAGGAATCAGATAATGAACTGAGATATCATCAAATGGTCTCTTGTAATTGTTACATCCACTGGGTCCTTTTCCCCCTCCCCTACAGCTCAGGCTGACTGCTAAAAGTAGCCTGATCACCTACACTATTTTATGATGATACCTGCACTGAACTGAAGCAGAGTGGATTAGTAGCATATTAGTACAATATTGCAGTTGCAAAGCATCCCAGAATGTAGCTTTTCAGTTCCTAATTCCAAACTTTTGAAGGGTCCTAGATAAGATTTGTCTCCACTGAGAAAGTTGGTTATGGCATGTGAGTTATCCCGCAGAATGGAGAGTGTCAAGGTTAGTGGTGAAGGAAGACAGAGCCAGCAGCTCCACTCTGACAACTGATTAGATTTGCTGTTTAGAAATTATGTCTTCTTGTTTGGTGAAATCTCCATCTGTAGCCTCAGGCCAAGTGCTCTGTGAAAACTCTCTGAACATTAGTTGGCAGAAATGATTTGTTCAGAGTCTGTTTCAATGTAGCCAAGTTCTGATCCACTCACATATAATTGGCTTAACAATTTCTCTATTGAGGCTCTACAGAGGCTCTCTGTGAGATGGCAGGGAGATGAAGGGATGAGACTGAATAATGCTTATGTGTTCCGGTCCCTGCTTCTTGGCAAACTATCAGATGATGCAAGAATTTCTGAGGACATTAAAAAAACATTGTATGAAATTTTCTTAAATTTATATCAACCCCAGAAAGACAATGGAAGTTACACCAAACATTTGGGGAAGATCAAGGAACTATAAAATATTAGTAAAAAAAATTCACAAATCTCACTTTTGGCTTGGGCAGAAGGGATGAATATTAATTGAGAAATGACAGGGAGAAACTTGTGAGACAGCATCTTTATCTAGCATTATCAACAGTGGAGCGGTGTTCTCACTATTCTTTTAAAACTGAGGGGAAAAGTAATAAGAGAGGCAGGTTGTTGTCTCCCATGAGTGACTTTTATTGTCACAAGGATTGAGTAGAAACCCTAACTTTTCTCCGTTCTTTCTTTTTAAACATCAGATTACCTCAGAAAGCCATCAATAGGATGTGGGAATGACATGTTGAAATTGTTATTGGTTCCTGTCAGTAAGAAAGGAGTGCGTCAAAATGAAATCTTTCCAATCCTGGGTTATTTGAGCATGGGCTACATTTCTGACCCCAATGGGGTATTCTTTCTCCCTCATAACCACCAGACTCTACCTTTGAGGCTTGTGTGTAGGCAGCTCATTGCTCTTGTTCTCCAAACCGAAGTCAGTTTATGTCAATCCTGTTTCATTTTCAGCTTTCTGTGAAGTGAAGCTGGTCCCTTCATTATTTTTGACACACATTCTTAGATTAAATCCATATGTTTATTAATTCCACAAGAAATCCAGGAGAAATCAGATCTTGGCAATTTATGACTCCTGAAGCCCTCGAAAGATTACAGAAATCTTTCAATAATAAAATACAATATGCAGTTATTCTAGAAATTTCTACTCACTTATCTTCATAATCGTAAATTATTTCATACCTAATTACAAACAGGCAGACTGAATAATTGTCTTCATTGAGGGATGTTTGACACTGAGAAAATATAGCCTTATTTTATAAACCTTTTAATGTTCAGACTATAAATATGTCACAGCTAAGGAGTACTGCTTCTTTAAGTGTATTAAAGTCACTCTTGTGTAACCAAACATAATGGGATTTTTAAATGAATTATAACTAAAGTACTTAACAAACAACTTTTTAAACTTCCAACATGTGTAAAGCGATTGGAAACTGTCCGTCTCATATTAAATGCCCCAAAGTATATTTCATTCAACTCATTTGGCAAAAAAATTATATTGGTGGAGGCTTTCCCAAGATACAGACCTAACAGAAAGAAAGGAAAAGATTCAATGGGAAATTTAATACCTTATTCTCCCTTCATATGTGCAAAAAGTCTCACCAATGAGGTGTCAGATATCTGTTTATGTTTGGGAGAGTTTTGGAGTAAGATCAGGACATATGCATTCAATTTTTAGTAAGGAGATTGTCCATCTGTATTCTGGTGCCTTGGAATGAAGTAATGAAGTTGTAAAACACAAAGCCTTGCCTTCTGTTTGAGATCTCAATTCACACTGCCGACTGGCTGGCCTGTCGATAGAAAGAACAACTTTGTGTCTCCTTTCATTCATTTGATCATCTTACTTCATAGTCCTAATGACAGATTGCAGTGACTGTCTCATTTAAACCTTCGGTTCAAAGCCAAAATTTGTCCTTACATTACAGAATAACAATATCTTTATCTGTTTTTATAACCACCATACCCTAGACAGTAGTAGTTCAGTGAATGGTTTCTAAATGAATGAATAAGCATTTAGGGAATGACTGTATGTTGGAGATTGGGAATGCAAGGACAAACAAAGAGCCCTACTTTCAGGGACCCCCCACCATGAAAGACAGTATGGATTCTGGAGAGAGTACAAGACAAATGGAGGCAATCAGAGCGTCATTTGCTCTACTGCTTTTGTCTGTAACAAATAATTTACAGCAGACACCCACAACTAATCACTGAACTGAACTTGAACCCAGATACAGAGAAGGACCAGTGAAGAGCACAGAGGTCCAGACCAGGCTGGTGAAACCCACAGAAACAGCTGACCTGAACATCTGGGAACTCTTGTTCCCCAGTCTGATAGCTGGAATACCAGCATGGGACTGATCCAGACCCCAGGAACATGGGTCTCTGTGAGGAAACTTCAGAAATCTACAGAACCTCCTGTAGAAGTCCAGTACTTATCCCTAGCATAGGTGTGGACTTTGGGAGCCCATTCCATATAGAGGAATACTCCCTGAGCCAAGACACACTGGGGTGGGCCTAGGCCCTATCCCAAAGGATACAATAGACACTGATGACACCCTATGGAAGGCCTCACCATCCAGGGGGAGCAGAAAGGATATGTGACAGATAGGGTTTTAGTTGGGGGGATGGTAGGGGAGGGCGGGTAGGAGAAGGGAACTGGGATTGACATGTAAAACAATCCTGTTTCTAATTCAAATAAAAAAGTTGGAAACAAAAAGAATTTACAAGAGTAGATAGAAGATCTAGAGACTGTGTTCTGGAGTGCTGGCTCCAGGGTTGTCTTGTGCTTGATTTAACTATGGACAGAAAGGCATTACAATTTCAGGTTTGTGAGGACCACTGCACTAGAAAGTTCTGTCGGTGGCCCAGCAAAGGATACTGCTTCCATCTGCAATAGAGAGAATATATTAGACATCTCCATCAAGGTGTGTAGACTCGGTACAGTCTTTGTAGCAGCACACAGGCTGCTTGAATTTATGAGGGAATCAATTCATAACATCAGGATTCTAGTTACATACTAGGAGTTTTCTATTGAGGTCATTGTAACACCAAATGGTAACTACAGTATAGGTGTCTCAAGGGTCTATAGGTCTAGGATGGTGTCTTAGTTGAAATTTTCCTAAAGTGGCTTCTGGATCAGAAAAAGAACAAATTGTTGAGCTTGGACATGCCACAGAAGTCAGCTACAATTCTAATGAGCTAATGTAAGAGAGGCTCAAGTTGGACAAAGAAAAGACTCAAACTCTATGTCCTTAAATACCATTCTATTAAGATCCAGGTCATGAAGCAAAACCTGAGAACTCATTACCACACTTTGAAAAAAATTATTTTTCCTTCTTTTTCTGTACATTCTGTGTTGATACACTTTGAGTTCAGAGTATACATGTGATCATCAGTAAATATTTCTACAAGGTGGTTCATAGTTGCCAAGAAAAACTCAGCTAATGGAGGCAATTCTAACTGAATCAAGAAAGAAGGATTTGTGTTGTCTTTCCCAGGTTCCTTGCAGCTAAATAAAAGCCAGATAATTCTAATTATCCAATGGGGTTTCCTTTCCATCACCAGAATCATAAAAACACAAAGCCCAGAGGATTGGGCCTTGTGTTTTTCACTTCATTTTTCTGGGGTCACTTCTGGGAATGTGGTTGTTCTGAGGGTACAATTCGTCTTTGGGCCCAGATGCTGGTGAAAGGGAACACTTCACTGCATCTATTTGAGATCCTGGGTTGTTACTGTGGATTAAAGAGAGATTACAAAACAGATCAGGATGAATAGCCCAGGCAGGGGAGCTGTACAGAACAGTCATCTGTTGGTTTATTTCAAAGAAGGTTCCTTGGAGACATTGCATCATACAGAATAGTTTTGCTAAAACTATGCCATTTTTTACCTTCCCATCAATGTTTTGCATTTATCTCATCTACTCATTTCCAATTATGTTGATTGTCTGCTGCTGCTGTGTTTCAGAAAAACTAGGAACTGCTTTACATATCTCTCCCCCTTCTTATTTACGATATTAAGAGCCAAAACTTACAAGGACTGCCAATGTACCAGGGAGAAGCCAAATGAAGTATATTTTATGCTAGGTAGAACACAAAAAGGTCTTGACTTTTATTTAAGAATAAAATATTATTTTTCTTTGAAAACTGAGGAGTTACAATGACATCAGCAGAGGTTGACACGCCTTAGTACAACACGTTGGTAATTCTTTTCATACTTCTCCACACTCTTCTCATTCAGAAACAGAAGCAAGTCATGGTACCAAAGGTTCCTGTAACAGCTTTAACCCTTTCACAGGTCACAGAGAGCTCCTGTGAGCTTGTTATTTGAGTTAAAGCTGACCATTGATGTTTTTCTTGGGTAGCCATAACTATGCCTGCAATGGAGGTGGAGGTTGTACAAAGATATCTTGTAGATGGCTTCTGTAGCTCTGTTAGAACTCTGAGACAAAAGACAGAAATTTCTTCTCTTTTTTATGTGCCTGGTGGGAGAGGCAATTTATTTCATTTTTGTCCGACAAACCATCGTTTCTGTGAAATAGGAATCCCCTACTTCCCTTTTCTGGAATATTGAAATAGACACCGAGTCACTGGACCTCATTTGGGATAGTGTAGGGGTTAGCTCATAGAAGCCTAATCCAAAGCACAGGGCTCAGGTTTAGGATTTGCCATTTATTAGCAGAGAGACTGGACACATTTAACTAGGTTCCAGAGTTTCCACACCTCTTTTATGCGATACATCTAGAACACAGTGAGAACTACAGGCCTTAGTCATGATGCTGTTGTTATTCCCGTTTGGTCATCCTTCTATTTCAGAATTCAATATTCACGAAGTGTCAACCATGTATAAAGCACTTTGTTATGACTTGACCTCTAGTGGGGAAAAATCAATGAGATTTTTATTTTCTAGAGACTTCTTAAGGGAGAATATATTAAAACAGCATATTTTCAATGATTTCAGATTTGATAAGTGTCAAAGCAAGTGGTAAGTGTCAAAAGAAAGAAGATAAAGTGGGGTAACCTTAGAGACAAGGTGATGGAGACTTCAGCTCAAGGTCCTCTCTGAAGATGAAAAGCAGGTTTACCAGTGAAAGTACAAAGCATGAACTTAAGGTCCTCCTGTGGCTGGGCTGGTTCTAAGGCCTGAGCTCTGTTTCCATGTGAGTCTGTGTGCTATTTTTTTCTTAAGAAAGCCTCCTCATATTTATAGCAGCAGAGATCGGCATGATTAAGACCCAAGACACAACTCCCAGTACCACAAAAAAGGAAACAAAAAGTTTCCATTTTCTAGGCTTTTAGGTGCCACCAAAACTGCATGCATGTCCACTTTGGAGGTGACATGTGAGAGTGGGCAGTCATACACATACTGGGAACAAGTCCCTTTGGGAGTCGGAGGCCATATGTACAAAAGCAATAAAGGCCTTATTAAGTGGTGGCTGCAGTGGAGAAGATGATGGATCCTGGGTGAATGTTGGCAACTGAGCTGGTGGGATTTACTCATTAGTTGGGCTTGGGGGTAAGACAGAGAAAGAAGGATCCAAGGTTGCCTGAATCTGTGTGATTTCCCTCCCATTCATCCTATTTATGTGTTACATCACTGAGAAACATCCACAACACTGTCAAAATCCTCCCTCCCCAATTTCATGGCATCGTTTCACTTAATAATCTCTCTTGTTTATTAACTTAAATATTGTTGTAGCATTTAGTTCCCTTGCTAAAAGGGATGTTAGTTATTATGCCAGATGGTTCAACAAATAATTATCTTCATACTTACACAAGTGCTTTATTTTTTTCTGATTACTGGTACAGTTTTGAACTTATTAAGAGTCTGAAAGCTCTACCAATGGGCACCTACAAGAGGCCCTATAATTTTCACGAAGGATTTAGTATATGGTTGTTGGGCTCCTAAACTCTCCCCAGCTATGCTACTGTTTCAGTCATTGAGAGTTTAATGGAGGAGAAAATCAGAATGTATTGATTTCCTCTTCTGCCCCTTGGAAGAGGCATTCCACATTGTTTTTATAATGTTTTGAAGTACTCATGGCAGTGCCTTTTAGAGCACTTGAGAAAAGCGAAATCTGCAAGGTGAGCAGGAGGCAGCTTTTATTGGGGTCTGCCTCTGAGTTAATGTAAATGAAAGAAAGGAGATGAGGATAGGAATCTCTCTAAAAAACGTGTGTGTGTGTGTGTGTGTGTGTGTGTGTGTGTGTGTGGGGGTGGTGTGTGTGTGTGTGTGTGTGTGTTTGTAAACACAAATAATAAAAACTCAGAGACTGAATTGGGTTTCAAGCTTCAAGCTGAAGATCAGAGAAGCAAAGCAGCCAAGCCAGTAACTCTTATCTCTATCTACCTAGGCTGAATCAATGCTGCCCTCAATGTGGCTGGATACTAATTGCCCGAAAGTGACTGGAGACCAAAGTGCCCCAGACTGAATAACTGTTCCTATCTTATATACCTCAAGTGCTGGGATTAAAGGTATGTGACCCCAAGTGCTGAGATATCCTTTGTGTGAGCTGTTTCTCTGTTAGACTGGATCAATTTCGTGTACCTCAGTGTGGCCTTAAACTAACGAAGAACCGTCTAAGTCTGTCTCCTGATCCTGGGATTAAAGGTGTCCATCACCAATGCCTAGCTTCTATAGCTAACTAGTGTGGCTGGCTTTGTATTCTTATATTTTCAGGCAAACTTTATTAAATCATAAATAATATATCACCACACATGTTCTATTGCTATTATGGGGGCACATAAACAGACATGGCACTGGAAAGGCAGCTGAGAGTTCTATATCTTGATCCATAGGCAGCAGGAAGAAAGACACCTCAATGCCCATATCCAGTGACACACTTCCTCTAACAATGTCCCTCAAAGAGGACACACCTGCTAATAGTGCCACTCCCTAATGACTAAGCATTCAAATCTATGAGCCTATGGGACCAATTCTTATTAAAGCACCACTCTGTGTGTGTTTGCATGCACTTGCGTGCACATGCATGTATTCCTGCGTGTGTGTGTGTGTGTGTGTGTGTGTGTGTGTGTGTGTGTGTGTGTGTGTGTGTGTGTGTGTGTGTGTGTGTGTGTGTGTGGGTGTGTGTGTTGTGTGTGTGTGTGTGAGCGTGCATGTTTGTATGCCCTTGGACCACAGGTCACATTTAAGCTTTCCATTTTCCATGCTGATTCCAAAGTCTCTACTTCACCTACCTCAACTATGTTAAAACCTTTCTGCATTTTCTCTGGGCTTGTTTTTTATCAATTTGCTTGGAAAAAAAACTCATTGGAAAGATTGAATTTTGTCTCTCTGCTCTTCTTGATTAGTTTAGATCAGGAGGTTGTACACTTGTGAGAGTATAAGTATTAAAGATTACAGAACTTTGTCCACATATTACTTTAGTGATAAACAAGTGTCAAGTGGTTATACATCAAAACTAGCAAGCTTTTGTAGGCAAAGATACTGTTCAAACAGATCAGTATCTTGGGTTGGAAGGTCTGGGGTTGGCTTTTACATCTGGCTTTTCATTCTCTCTGACCCTTGGAACTTTTATCTGTGAAAAATCTGTATAATGACCCATGAGTAAAGGTCAGATGAAGTCGTGCATATGAAAGGACTTGAGAAACTATAAAGTGTTAGATACATTTAAGGTTCCCACTAGTGGTATCTGAAACAAAATGAGGAAAGTCTTTGTAGCAACTTTGAAAGAATTTCAGCATTTATTGTCAAATAAAGATGCACAAAAACGAGCAGGAATTTACTTGGTGTGGTTTGCATTCCTAGAAATGTTTATTCAGTGAAAACCAAAACATAGGAAAACTTTGTGGGGATTTCCAAAACCCTGCCTATCCCTTATCATTCCCAGTTCTAGGCCTGGGCCTTGTTGCTCAGTCTATCCAGTGCCCCAGCCTGGTAAGTCACCTGGAACTCCACCTGCCCTCATTATCTTCAATATCCAGCTTGTCCGGTGGGACTAGCCTGGTGAGTACCCTAGATCTTTAGCCACTTGTATTATCCTCACACTCCCAGCAGGATTGGGTAGTGCAGCTTTCTCAGCAGCCCAGGTAGACCCAGCTAGGGCCATGTGCACATTTTCTTGTCTGCCACTGAGCTGGAATCACCCTGTTTCTCCAACAACAACAACAACAACAACAATAACAACAACAAAAATCAACACTAAGTGGTTGTAGGATTGATTTACTGACTCTTCATATCTTACCTGAAATCAACTAAACTTGAGCAACAACAAAAACAAAGCAAAACTTCCTCTCAACCATGTTCTGGAAATGTTCCAGGTTATCAGGAGTGCAAACACTCCCAATCAAAGGCAAAATTACAATGGCTGAATATGGTGGATTCTGTCAGTTACTTTATGAATACTCATTTCACATCCTAATTTCTATTGATAAAATATTGCTGATGAATAGACCCTGCCCTTCATGGCAGATGGTGACCATGGCTTCTAAGCTGTTTTCTTTCTTGTTGTTTGAAGAGTCTATGTGGCATGGGCTGGCTAGGTGGCTCTAAGAGTGGGCTTTGCTTTCTCAGGTAGTGAGCAAGCCAGGTGGTAGCATTCTTTCTTCATGACGGGATGTGGACGTGAAGGTTGAAGTGAAGGTTGAAGCTGTAGCAGCCATCTTGATATCACAAAAGATGCTGAGAACTGAAAAAGTGTCAGTTGGTTTTGAGCTGGATAAACCACGGACTCAATGCCATCCCAAGTCACAGACTTCTTGTCATGTGAGGAAACAAAGCACTAGTAACAAAAGTCGAGTGGTTAGTTAGCTGCATTTTGATGTTTTTTTTTTAAGTAGTACAGAAATGCATGAAAATATATATACTTCCATATGATAAAATTATATCTAACACATATTTAAATAAAATTTTACATAGGAAATCTCCAAAGAACCTGGTAAGCTTTTGTAGAATACTGATATGCTATCTCATTTTGAAACATTTCTGAGTGTAAGGTGAGAAACAAAAGGATTTGGAACCAGAGACCTAGATATGATGGTGGAATAATCTTTGTTCAGTAAGTAAGGGGTGGAAAAGCAGGGATGAAAATGTAGATAGATACACGCAGACACAGGTTGTAGACAAGTATGACACATTCGGTGTGGTCATATATAAACACAGTGTTCAGGTATTTCCCATTTTCCTTCCTTACAGTCAAGATGTAAAATGTAAAACATAAAAACACAGAGTGATGAGTTTAATTTGAATATCATATAAGTGACAAATAATTTTAAGTACATGGGTATGCCCTATTTTGTGTTACTTAACCTTATAATATATGAATCTGTTAGTTCAGACACTATTAATTTCTTCTTAGGTTTCTGGTGTTGGGCCAGAGTGTCTCAGATTCAGTTTGGAGCTCTTATCTTTTCCAGTAATGAGAAATTTGACATTGCTCTATCTTTCCTGTTGGAAGTTTCCTCTCTGGGCCCAGGCTACTTCTAATATCCCACTGGATCCTAAAATGGGCTAGCACCACAATTGCAAAATCCAGAGTTCATCAGCAAAGGACAGTATAAAACAACTTATAGGCTCTATAATTAGGTTGTAAACAGATGTCAGAAACACAACCCCAGGTACCCAATGTGTTCAGGTTTGATTTTCTCAAGGCAGCTGTCCAGCTAGATAACTGGAAGGCTTCTAGAAGCAACAGAGCGCTGTGGTGACAAAGGCACACACAGATTAAATTAAGGGAACTCATGACCACATTTAGTTTCCAAAGCAGGTTATCTTGGCCTGCCTGTCAGCCTTCTCAGAAGGGTTTCCTGCACTCCGCCCCATGTGTGCTGGTGATTTCTTTCATTGTGCTCTCTTGATTTGTATCTAAAGATGAACACTGAGTCATGACCCATTCCACTTACTTAGGCACACTGTGGATTTTCTGGAGTGTGTCCTTTCATTCCTACTCTAAATCTGTGTGGGGACTTGAAGTAGACAGAAACCTCCATGAAGGAGACGTTAGATAGAGGACAGTTTTGGCTGTGATGCTTCAAATCAAACCCAGCTTGGGTGTCACAGCTCTGCCACAGTGCCATAGGCAGCCCTTTTCCACACTTGAAGGGCACTGGTGGTTATCAGATGAGCCTGCCATCAGCATCGAGCCAGAAACACTTCGGTTCCCCAAACCCTTTCTCATAAATCTCCGCCTAAATTAGCAGGAGGAAGGATAGCGAGCTTCAGATCCCTGCCAGGCTTTCATTAATCCTCTAGAAACCGCCAGGATCTGTCTCGCTTTCTCCTTTTCTTTGCCAGCAAAATGACACTTAACGAAGAAGGTACCCTCGAACATGCTGGTACATTCCTGACAAACTTTCATAAATATGCCCAGCTGTTTTCCCCAGCTCGGCTCTGTGTAGCCTGCAAATCACTGATTAATTTGCACACAGCTGCTACAGATTCAAGGCAGACGAGCTCCCTAGAAACATTCCATGTTGCTGGTATTAAGCCTCTAATTTCCTTAAGTGAAAAGTTTCTAAAGCTGTTCAAATTTTGTGAAAAAGCTGAAAAGGCAGGGCTCCTGGGCTTCCTCCCCACTTGTCTGACAGCCACACTGTCACGCTGAAAAATCCACTTAACCATTATGTGTCTGAGCACTACTTTGTAGCCTAGCAAGTCTCTCTCTGTTTAGCATTGTCCAGACAATTTTTGAAAACGCATTTTTTTTGGCAAGGCCTGAAAGGGAGACTCTGCCCTCTTGAGGGTGAGACTTTGGGTTTTAAAAAAGGTTAAAATCCCTCTTCCCTTCTTTGGGTCTGGGTCCCTGTGCATCTCTGATAATAGAGTCTACATAAAAAAAAGCCCTGGGGAGTCTTTAAGAAGATAATATATTCAACGGGAAAGATTTTAAGTGTGTTCATAGCCTTTCTCCTCAGTCACTGTCTATGAGAAATTTGAGATCTTGTAGGGTGCTTTGATTGTTGATGTAAATCAGAGTAAGGAATAGAGAAAGTGATTTAGAAAGGTCTGGAAGACGATATGGAGGGGCAGATATCTACTTCTGAAAGGAATACTCTACTATAGGTGGCTGAGAGGCTGAGGGACCCAAAGTAAACTGGCCTTTTGAGAAAGCGTTTGGGAGTTAGAGGCCTATGGGGGAATGATGGGAAAGGCAGAAGCAAGAGATGAACAATGAACCACATCCCAGGATTCTCTGGCCTTCCTGACATCCAGTTAGGACATTCTCTGAAGTGATGCTTTGAGATCCCTGCTTACCTGATCAGTTTCTGTCTCCTATTCCCAAGAGAAGGTGGGGATCAAAAAGATTTCCAGCCTGGAGGAAAGGGGAGGTGGCAAGTATGTAGGCGACAAGGAGAATTAGTGATATGCCATAATGGATAAGCAGAGACTGAACACCAAGATTCCAATGGTATTCTTCAACTGGAAAAAATTATCATAATCACATGGAATCACCAAGGCATCGAAAGCCAATGTTATTCTGGACAAAAATAGCAATGGAGGTCCCACAAAACTTGATTTCAAATTATAGTGTCATGGTAGTAAGCATAGCGTGGTACTGGCAGAAAAGCAAACCTGTAGATTAATGGAATAGAATAGAAGTCCCATAAATAAATCTAAGCAGGAGAAACACTTGCTTCTTAACAAAGATGTCAAAAAATATGTTGGAGAAATGAAAGGGATTTAGTTTTAGTCTTCTACATGTGGATATACAGTTTTTCTGGCACCAGTTTTTGAAAAGACTTTAATTTCTATAAAAATCATTTTAAAATGGGGAAGATAGCCTAATTTAAGACTCCGAGTGTTGAAAATGTTAAGGGAAAACACATCACAGTGCAGATATACATAAGGCCAGCTTGAATAGGACTGTGATAGTGCAGGGAAAAAAAAAAAAACAGCAAGGCCTGACAGTATGGGGTTTATTCAAAGCAAAAGTTTTGTTACAGCAAAGGAACTAACTTACAAAGGTAAAAGAGATCATCTAGGATGAGCGAAGAATCTTTGCCAGCTATTTATAAAGCAGGGAATTATTGCCCACACTATATAAAGAACTCATAATTTTAAATACTGAAAGAAAAATGTTTCTCTAACCATGGTTAGAGGACTGTTGAGAAATTGTGACTATTCAATGAAAATGGAGATCATCTGTTGTACTTGTGACAAATTTTGAAAATTATCCCAATATCAATACATATAGGCATTTGTCATGTAGAATTCCTGAACTAAGTCCCGGGTTCACCTGGTGTCGGGAACCAACTCCAACAGGCTAGTGTTTGGACATACTCACATCTAAGTTGTTCCTTTTTTCATTGAAATCTGTCAGAGTGTTTAATTTATTAATATAGATACTTAAGAGGTTCTATATTACTGGAATTAATATGATGCTTACTGAGGCATTTTCATAGTTTAAATAAGATTTGGTTTACTGTTGGTTTTATTTGCCCTTTATTAGTCTTTTGAGAATTCCATACAATTTATTTTGGTCATATTCACCCTTTGTACCTCAACACTTTCTAGATTCACCCTCACATTCCTGGATAGTCAACGTTCTGTCCTTTATGAAAAAGAAACTTCAAGTCCGCTTTGTGCTGCCCATTTACTTTGGGGTATTTGGCTTTTCATTGGATCATGGCGGTCAACCTATCAGGGGCCACACTCTTAAGAAAATTGACTCTCTCTCTCCCAGAAGCTGTTAATTGCTGACAGCTTCCCATTTAGGGGTGGAGCTTCAAGACCACCACCTCTCTCTCATGCTAGATCCTGTTTGGTGTGAGCCCGTACATGCTATCACAACCATGGTGAGTTCATGTGTACATCTGCTCTACTGTGTCCAGAACATACTCTCCTTATAGTCTTCCACTACCTGTGTTCTTGCCATCTCTTCACCCACAATAATCCCTGAGCTTCAGGAGGAGGGAGTGTGATATTGATGGGCCACTTAGGCCTGGGCATTTTGCACCTAAATCAGTTGTGGGCCTTTGTGTTAATCACTATCTATTGAAGAAAGAAACTTCTCTGGTGAGGGTTGAGATAAGCACGAATATATCTGTATAACAATAAATAACCAAGAGTCATTTGGAAACTGTGGCCACTTAACAGAGTAGTGGCAATAGGATTCTCCCCTATGACCAATGACCTGTCTATCCATAGGTTCTTGGCCTTGCTAATAGTGCCAGGTGTGGGTTTTGTCTTGGAGAGTGGGCCTTAAATCTAATCATAGAGTAGTTGGTTATACCAAGATGTTTTTGCCACTGATGTACACATAGTCATGTCTTGCCAGCTTGATCAGTGTAGCTGCCAGAATGTACCTGTTAAGCAAGATCGATGCTGGCTTGTCTCCTCCAGCAGTGTGTGTAGCAGCTGTAGAAGGCTGTGGAGGGAAACTGTAGGGGTAAAAAGGACTTGGAAAGTCTTTTCTAGCTGTGAGCCTTGTAAATTATGATATGACCAGCCTGACTAGATGTGCCCATTGGTGCAACAACAGCACACATTTTTGAGATGTAACCAATTGCTTTATTACTGTGTTTAAGGCCCACGCCACAGGGGGACCTTGTACCTGGTACTATAAAGCTGGTTAAGAACCTGTGGCTATGGAAATAATAGGCCCTAGAGGAAAGACTGCCACTATCATTTTGCTAAGTGGACATGGTATCAAACCATCTTCTAAATATACCTTTACACCTGCAGATTATTGTAGTTTTCAGCATTCATCAGAGATGTTTCTTTTTTTTTTTTTCTTCAGTGGGCAGTGGCTAATACAGAGATTCACAACTGATGAAAATGCAGAGAAAATGTGACAATGGAGTCATCATTCCTAAAGAGGACATCTAATTCACCCCCTTTCTAAGACTCAAGGGAATAGCACCAAAGAAGAAGCAGAAAAAGGACAAGAGTCAGGGATTGAGGGGGGTACTCTGAAACAGGGTCTTCTGGAAATTGCTGATCTACTCATGAACCCAGAGAATTTATTGTTACTAACACAATACTTGCCTAAGACTGGTCTCAACATTTCATCACAGAAGGGTTAAGGCTTCATGGCATTCTACCCATATTTGAGACATTATTGACAGTTAAAAAGGGTTGGTGGGAGGGGGTTACTGTCTTGACTGTATAGCAACTGATAAATTCACCATGTCCCAGTGAAGAAACCCCTACCCTAGCTCATGTAGGAAACCCCAATTAAAACCAGTGGGTTTAACACACAAACACACACACACACACACACACACACACACACCCACACACACACA